CCCCTACGTCAGCACGGTACAGTCCCGCCCACAAGGAGGGACTCGAGCCCCCCTCCCGCCCCGCGTTCCCCCGAAGGTCGCGGGTTCGATTCCTACGCCCGGCTCCCAATCCCGCTGTGACGTCACGGCGCTATCCCAGGAGCCCGATCACAGAATCCCAGAATGGCTGAGGTTGGAAGGGACCTCTAGAGATCATCCAGTCCAACCCCTGCTCCAGCAGGGACACCCAGAGCATGGGGCACACGGTGGCATCCAGGCAGGCTTGGAAGATCTCCAGAGATATCCCACGGGCTTCTTTTTTTTAGGCGCATATAAAATCCTCCCGGAAAAAGCTTGATTCAGTTACGGTTACACTAGATTGCATAAAAATGTTTCTGAAAATACATGTTTTCAGGGTGCCTGAGATCCCCCTGGACCCCCCACTGGCTCCAGGGAAGGAGCAATGGATGGGAGCGAGGTTGAGATGTGCACCCCAAAACCAGGGAAACGGTGACACCGGAAAATGGGGGGTCACCTGGGATGGAGCATTTCAGAATATGGTCCTGGTTGGCACTGGTTCCAGCAGAGCCTGCTGCCACCAGGAGCTTTTCCCGGGAAGGAGTTCCCTCTATTTTAAGTCATTAAAGCAGAAAAAAAAAAAAAAAAAAAAAGAATCTTAGGAAATGCTTGAACCGATTAGGTGCTCTTAGGAGCTAAGGAGCTAAACAAATGCAAAGCAATTCCCCCCTCCCAGCCCCTCGTGCTGCTGGAGAAGCTGGAGAATGTAATCTCATTTCCAAACACACAATTAGGGAAAATAAAAGAAAAAGAAAAAGAAAAGAAAAGAAAAGAAAAGAAAAGAAAAGAAAAGAAAAGAAAAGAAAAGAAAAGAAAAGAAAAGAATAATTAATTTCTGCTTCCTCATGCAAATCCGCTGACCAATCATTTAGGGATCAGGAGCAATTCCGCTTCTTGTGCAAATTCCAGACTGAAGGCATGAAAAAAAAAAAAAGGAGAGTGAATGGATTTACTTTTCTAAGAAGCAACGTTAACAAAGGTCCCATTTTCCGCGGTTATGTGCCTGGCCAGACAGCCCTCGCTGACAAGCTCTCAAAAAAACATGTGTTGGCCCCGTTGAAAAGGCCCCAGTGTTGACGGGCGGACAATGGAAGTGACAAATTGTCCCATTGTCCCCATCGGGGTGAGCGGGGCTCTGGGATAATTGCGGAGCAGGGGGAGGAAAAGCGGCAGGGCGGGAGACAGGATGGACCCGGACGGGACCGACCCCGTCCCGGTGACCGACCCTGTCCGGCAGCCCCGAGTGCTGCTGGTACCGTCTGTCCCCGTGTCCCGTACAAGCTCCAGGCCACCCTTGGTGGGACACGGAGCATCCCTCCGGAGCATCCCGAGCCCGGGGAGCCCCTTGGCCTCATGGAAACCCCACGGGGCGAGGACGCGGCGTGCGCGGCCCCGGTAATTCGAAGCAGATGAGCGCTGGGCCGAGCGCTGCAGACTCAGTGCCCCGAGCTCACCGCCGTTACCTTGAGGCTCGCCAGAGCTCTCCTGCAAGGGTTATTTACGGCCAAGTCATAAATAGCTCTTATGGATTTTCTCCATCAATCGGGAAAATGGATTAGGTGGGGAAAAATTTATGCACTTGAGGTTGGGGCATGCGGTTTCTCAGGCGAGGAGGAGGAGGGCTGTGCTGTGAGCTTGGGCTTGCCTAGCGAATTCCCTCCCGCAAATGGTTTGGACGGGGGGGACGGAGCGGGGAGGCTCGTCCTTAAATCCCTCCGCAATCTCTATAAGCAGGAGCTGGAGGTTGCATCAATGATTGACCAGACGGGTCCGCCGCACTACCGGCTTGTAAACAGACTTTAATGGCCGGCTGTAAATCCAGGCGGTAGCCGGGCCGGCTTCGTCTCCGTCGGACGCGCTCGGGGCTCCGCATCGCTTGGCTTCGAGCTCCGCCGGCTCTGCAATCGCGCGTGCAGATCCAAGAGGCAAAGTCCTCGAGGTCAAAACGATGCGGATGTCAGCGGAGGTTTCCGGCCGGCGGCTTTTCCGCGAGCCTGGACGCGCGCGCTCCGGCGGGTGCCCCCGGCGCCTCCGCGCGCTCGCACGGGACCCGCTTTTGTTAATCGCTGGAGCGCAGCGTCATTAGCGAGGAGCGCGGCGCGCGCACAAAGGGGAACCTGCCAAATTACTAATAAGCAGAAACTCCATCCATCTTAATGAGGCGGCGTTAAGAAAATAGCAGCCTGGAATATCCACCCAGGGGCTTCGGTGCTTGCTCATTCGCGTTAGAAAGCAGCGCGGAGCCCCGTGCCAACGTTCTTCTTCACGTGGTTTCTTTATGCTTTCGCAAATCATTAAGCATGAAAAAGGTAAATAAATGTCTGGAGGGCTCAGAAAATAAATGATTAGGGGGAAGAGAAACATCTGGCCTCTTCGCGAGAGGAAAAACAACTTGAGAAATCACAGGGCCCAGGCTCTCTTCTCCACAGAGGGTGATGCAGGGTGCTCCATGGGGATGTGGAGCTCCTGCTTGCTAGCGATGCCCATTATGGGTGAATTGGGGGAAAATTATAACCCCATTTATGCCCTGGCCATGCACCCCACGGCCCGGCTTGCAGCCCTCCGTCTGCTGCACCTGGTGCAGGCGGCGCGGAGCTTCCTGCTGTGCCGTAACGCAGCGAGTTATTACCCGCTAAATATTTATAAATCCTGTAAATATTTGCCATCAGCTCTCGGCAGGGATTAGGGCCAGGCGGGCACGCGCTGGAGGCCGCATCGCCCTTGTTGAGGTAGCACGGGAGCAAACGCTCCGCCGTGGGATTTGGGCAGGGAATTCGGCGCTGGCTGGAAGCGGTGTCCGCGGCCGGGCTTGGTGCTGCCGCTCATGCACGAAAGCCGCTCGCTTGGCACAAATCAGCTCAGGTCGCCGGCTTTGTTCACCGGGAATGCAGGGCATTCCTTTATCCCAAGCTTTTTTCCCCGTCCCCATCTTGTGCGCTTAGCCCTGATGCTCCCAGCGCGCTGCTCAACCTTGAATAAAAAAGATTGCGGGATGGCCAAGCCAAACAAGCCGGATGGCCCGTTGCCACTCGGAAAATGAGAGGCCCGGAGACTTCCTTAGGCTCCTGCGACTGAGAAGGGGGAGTTTCTTGCTGGAGCACCGGGAAGGAGGCAGCTCTGGAGAACTCACCAGCGCGCTCAAGGAGGCCATGGAAACCCGCTGGGGTGCTGGGTTATCCTATGAGCTGCAGGAAACCCGGGATGCCCGAGGATCATGAGCGTGCTGGAGCCCATTGGGATGCACGGGGGTTTATCCCGAGATTGTCCTGATCCTGCTGCTCGCGAGGAGCCGATGGTGAACAGAGCATCGAGGCCAGTTTGCCGGAGCGCGATACCTCTTTAAGACACAGACCTACTCTTTCGCTCTTTTTTTTTTTTTTTCCCCTCAAATACCATAGTTTTCTTTGGAATTTGTCCATAGGGAAATGAGGGCTGCAGGGTCCAGCGCAGGTTCTCAGAAACGTTTTGCAACCTTGGAAAAAAAAAAAAAAAAAGAAAAAGAA